TTGTTCTTCTATTCATAACTTCCTTTCAAATATTCTTAGACCCAGCTTGCAGAGTCTCCCCAAGACTGCACATTATATACAGGCCCTTGTCTTTAACTAACTGGCCCTCTAAGCAGCTGCATATTTGAAGTTAGAATTTAGGCCACTTTGATTTTAAAACCTTCAAGTGCTTAGAGCCAGAGGGGCAGTACAGCATGTAGGGCATTTCCGTACATGTAGCCAACTGGTATTGGGATTTGATCCCCAACATCCCATGTAGTCACCTGAGCACGGCCAGGAGTAACTCCTGAGGCAGAGTCAGGAGTAACCCCTGAGCGTTGCTGAGTGTGCCCCCCAAAGTTAAAGACAACAACATAAAACCTTCAAGTGTGGGGACTGGAGCAATAGCACAGAGGGTAGGGCATTTGCCTTGCATACGGCCTACCAGGGTTCAATCCCCGGCATCTCATATGATCCCCTGAGCACCTCCAAGAGTAATTCCTGAGTGCAGAGACAGGAGTAATCCATGAGCATTGCTGGATGTGACCCAAAAAGCAAAAAAGAAACCCTTTAAGTGAACTTGGGGACTGCTATTCCCATACCTACACTGTTCCACACTGTTTCTTAGGAGGCAAGAAAGTTTGACTCCTTACCTCGGTGCTCTTCTGTACTCATCTGTGGCTAACTCGAAAAGAAGTTGGCCCTTCGCCTTGACCTTCGCCATTCATCACCTGGGACCACTGAAGAGTGGGACATGTTTAATCTGAGCCTCACCCTAAATCTACTCTACAGGAGTGTCCTAAGGAGACAGGGACAGCTAAGTTTGAGAAACACCTGGAGAGTGAGGGGTACAGACCATTTCTACTCTTCATCACTGTGCCCACTACCCACTGCCACCCAGCTGGCGTTGTGCCATGTGGACCTCCCCAGGGGACTCACATACACATGTCACCTGAGCCCCATGGCCATCAGTAAGAACCAGCCACACTCTTGTGGTCTTAAAGCCCCATCGCAATCTGGGTTGCCATTGACATCATCACGTCTAGCCTGATTCAGAGAGTACCTGATGCCTCAGCTTCAAAGACTTTGTTTTTCCTATGTATCTTTTTTTTAAAAAATTTATTCTTTTGGGGCAGGAGCAATAGTACAGTGGGTAGGACATTTGCCTTTCATGCAACCGACCCGGGTTCGATTCCCAGCATCCCATACGGTCCCTCAAGCACTGCCAGGAGTGATTCCTGAGTGCAGAGCCAGGAGTAACCCCTGAACAAATAAATAATAAAATTTTATTCTTTTGCTGTTTGCAATTTTACAAACTTTCATGATTAAGTTTCAGTCATACAGTGTTCAAGTACCCATTCTTCCCCCAGTGCACTTGCATGTTTATTGCCTTGGTATCTTTTTTAAAGGAGAGAAAAGGGGCTGGGGATCGCTGGAGTGATAGCACAGCAGGTAGGGCATTTGCCTTGCACACAGCCAATTCGGGTTTGATTCCTAGCATCCTATATGGTCCCCTGAGTACTGCTGGGAGTAATTGCTGAGTGCATGAGCCAGGAGTAGCCCCTGTGCATTGCTGAGTGTGACCCAAAAAGGAGAGAGAGAGAGAGAGAGAGAGAGAGAGAGAGAGAGAGAGAGAGAGAGAGAGAATGGGGTAGAATCTCACAAAGGGTTGGTGAGTGGAAGTGTCTCCTTTGTTCTGGCTTCTGTTCTCTCTCCTTAGCCCACAAGTCAGAAATCCAGCTGCTTTGGATAACGCTTTCCAGTTTGAAGTCCCACACAACACAAATCTGTTTGAAGGAAGGTGAAGCAAAGGTAGAAGGACCGCCTGCACCCATCGGTGCCGGTCATACCTTGGAGGCCTCTCTGGTTGTCAGAGACCTGTGGTGAGGCTGTGTCTGCAGAAACTCACATGTAGGGTGATCAGATTCCTGACATTAGGATATAGCTCTGGATTTCCAAGTTTGCTGCCTACTATTTGATTTTTTTCATCATATTTGAAAGAGGCTTTCTTTTTGGTGATTAAAGTAGGCTGAAAACTCGAAAGTATACCTAATTATTATCCTTTAATATCCAGACTTTTTTTTTTTATTTATCTGGTCACACCAACCAACTCTTTGCATTCACTTTTGATCTTCCAATCTAATGTTCTCTCCACACCTCAAAAGAACAAATTCAGACATTAAATTCTGATTATGGTCATTTCTAAACAAGTGTTGACTGTTATTAAGGAAGTAGGAAATATCAGTGGATAAAGGGAGGAGGGGTAGAAACAAAAAAAAGAAAGTGTAAAGTGGTTACAAATAATTATTGTTTTGCTAACCATGCTTTTTTTGTTTATGTCATGTGTTCACTGGTTTTAAGTCAAGTCAGAGCTTCTTAAAGTTGGGGAGGGAAGGACTAGGGGTGTACCTTGAGGAGTGGAAGTGAGTCTAAGCCTTTTTACCCAGGTTCATATCTTTGCTTCCATGAAGAGAAGGCAGTGTAAAAAACTGGAGCAAGGGGCTGGAGCAATAGCACAGCGGGTAGGGCGTTTGCCTTGCATGCAACCAACCCGGGTTCTATTCCCAGCATCCCATATGGTCCCCTGAGCACAGCCAAAGGTAATTCCTGAGTACAGAGCCAGGAGTGACCGCTGTGCAATGCCAGGTGTGGGAAAGAAAGAAAGAGAAAGAAAAGAGAAAAGGAAAGAAAGAAGGAAAGAAAGAAGGAAAGAAAGAAGGAAAGAAAGAAGGAAAGAAAGAAAGAAAGAAAGAAAGAAAGAAAGAAAGAAAGAAAGAAAAAGAAAGAAAGAAAGGAAGAAACTGGAGCAATACTACAACAGCTAGGGCAATTGCCTTGCTGGTGACCAAGCTAGGTTTGATACCCAGCAACTCATGTGTTCCCCTGAGAAAGGATTACGCCCTGAGCATCTCCTGATGTGAGCCAAAATCTTTAACAAAAATAAATTTGAAAAAAAAAAGCAGTGTGTAAGGAAGACAGTGAACTTCCTTTCTGAAGGATATTTCCTAGAAAACAGATGTACTAATTAGTCTTGTAAGCTGAGAGTTTCAGTTTTTATTTCATGTTCCAAACAGTACTAGAGCCTGCCTTAATACAGATGGACATGCTGGAAGGCTGAGTCAGTAGTGGTGAACACTTGTGCTTCTGATTCGAATATGATGGAATCAGAAGAGATGGTGTCACACAGGCCAGCAAGTAATGCTAGTGAATATGATCTAATCGCTACAAGATCTTATTCAAAGAATGGGAAGTGCAGGAACCACAGAAAAGTTCCATCATGTGCCACTATTCCCATGTGACTTTTAGAACTGAAAACAACTCTACTCATTCTTTGTTTTGAAAACAACTCATTCATTCTTGGTTCAAATTGAAGTCACCTGATTTTTAAAGGATGGAGGAAATCTTTTCCAAAGACCTGTAGAGGAGATAAGGCCCCAAGAGAAAGAGCACAAGTTCTGTCTCCCTTTTGCCAGCTGGACCAAATCTCGCTGCAGGAGGTTTACTGTGACCCTCAGGTACAAAGCTAAATGACCGCAGATCTCAGTTCTGTGCTTACACCAAACTTTCTGTCACGGTCCTCTCTGGATACATGTCCAGTCCACAGGAGACATTGAAGATATTTCCTATACTCAGGAGTAACCTGGCCTCTCTAGGCCCTTCTCTCCGGGCCCTTGGGTATAATCGGCCTGGCTGGCTCTGTCAGCATTGGAGGAGTGTTCATCTCCCTCTAGGAAGCCCATTCATCTTGCCAGTGATGGAAACCCGGGTGGTGTGTGTGTGAGCAGATGCCCAGGCTCCACAGCAATCATCACCCCCTTCTGGCATTTCATTCAAAATATGTTCAAGGAAACAATCTCACTTAATCTTCCTGAGAGGAGGTGGTTTTAATAGAACCACACAATTAAAGGAAATGATTATGTAGGAATTGCCTTGGGGGCTTCTCAAGACTTGCATTGGAAACTATTTTTATTAGAACAAATCCGTTTGCAGATTCCCAAAACTCCCTCTCACAAAACGAAGGATGGGTTCCATTTAGAGATTACGAATTTTAGAAGATATAAAATATCTGCCCCCCACGCCTAGGTTTATGATTAAAGTGACAGCTCATTTTCTTACCATGAGTTGATCTTTGAGTACTATCAGTTTGGTTTTTTTTTTTTTGTTTTTTTTTTTTTTTTGCTGTGTTACTTGACTACACTACTCTGAACATTTCTAATTATAACCAAAGATACGGGATAAAGATCTTGAGCCAATTCTTTTGCAATACTGATGTAATGGTAATGTTCTCTGTCGACTGCCAAGCAGAGAGTTGTCGTGGGGAGAAAAAATGTTTTCTTGGTGTATTAAGCAGGAAGACTCCTTAGAGATTTACTTTGGGCGCTTTGATGAATGTTTTATCATGGTGGATTGCGGGTGCTCAACCATTAATCCCACTTCTTTCCCCTCTTCCTTCGTTTTTATGAGAGTTCAAAAGAAAATGTTCCAAGTACTTGTTTGTGGCGCGAGATTGAGAGACTGGGAGGAAGGAGTGAGAAGTTTTGCTTCACTGCCAAAGAGATACATTGTCATTCTCCTAGGGGGTAGCCTAACCGCAGAAGCGGGATTGCTGAGGCTCCCACCGGTGTGTAATACAGATGGGGGTAGATTCCAGACTTGCAGAACACCTTTCTCGCTTCCCTAGTATTTCCTGGGGAATTAGAAATGCTTCTAAGAAATGCTTCGCGGGCGTTATCTGGGGGTGCCGCTCACCCACGTTCCGGGAGGCGGCTGGGAGAGTTCTCGGGCGGGAAACCTCCGCCCCGGGCTGCCTGGCAGACAACCGGGACCTGTCGGTCGCGGGGGCGCCGGTTCGGATGCCAGGTGCGGGCGCCCCGGGAGGGCATCGGGGCTCCGGGAAAGCTCCCGGTGGGGGCGGCGGGGGGCGCCGGGGGCGTGGCGGGGGCGCCGCGGGCTCTCTGGGTTGCTACTGCCGTGATGTCACTCGCCCATCCTCATCCGCGGTTGGTTGTTTTGTGTTTCAGCTCTGCCTCCGGTGCCACACAAAGACCTGGCGGAGACTCCCACCTCCTTCTTCGGGGAGAAGAAAGGCGGAGGCGGCGTCGGAGCAAGATTCAAAGGAACTTGTGGCTCGTGGCTCCCCCCACCCCAACCCACCCACCCACCCCCGCCCTCCTGGGGGAAAGTGAATGAGAGCCACGAGCAGGGCGGTGCAGGGGCCGTGAGATGAGGCTCTGCTGCTGCTGTAGCCGCGGCTGCTGACGCTCGGCTCCCAGGCTCCCGTCCGCTGCCCGCCCCCCGCCCCCCCCCCCCTTTGTGCTCCGTGTACATGTGTCTGTTCAGCGCATCGGGAGGCGCGCACCAGAGAATCCAACACGGCTGCCGGGGAGCGACCACCCACCATGCCCACGGAGACCCTACAGACAGGTAGCATGGTGAAGCCGGTCAGCCCCGCGGGCACCTTCACGTCGGCCGTGCCCCTGCGCATCCTCAACAAAGGGCCCGACTACTTTCGCCGGCAGGCCGAGCCCAACCCCAAGAGGCTGAGCGCCGTGGAGCGGCTGGAGGCGGACAAGGCCAAGTACGTCAAGAGCCAGGAGGTCATCAACGCCAAGCAGGAGCCCGTGAAGCCGGCCGTGCTGGCCAAACCCCCCGTGTGCCCCGCGGCCGCCAAGCGCGCCCTGGGCAGCCCCACGCTCAAGGTGTTCGGCAACCACGCCAAGACAGAGAGCGGCGTGCAGAGGGAGACCCTGAAGCTGGAGATCCTCAAGAACATCCTCAACAGCTCCGAGGGCTCCAGCTCGGGCTCGGGCCACAAGCACGGCGCGCGCAACTGGCCGCCGCACCGGCCCGACGCCACCGACCTGCACCGACACTCCTTCGCCGAGTCCCTGAAGGTGTACCCCACCCAGGGCCGCGGCAGCCCCCAAGAGAGCAGCTCCCACGTGGGCAGGAGGCTGCTGGAGCAGTCCGCCGACTCCTTCCTGCACGTCTCGCACAGCTCCTCGGACATCCGCAAAGTGACCAGTGTTAAGCCCTTGAAAGCAATCCCCTGCAGTAGCTCGGCGCCCCCCCTGCCCCCCAAACCCAAGGTGGCCGCGCTGGCCACCATCAAGTCCCCCGAAGCCGACCCCCCGGTGGAACCCGCCTGTGGAGTCAGTCGAAGGCCCTCCCTGCAGCGGTCCAAGTCGGACTTGAGCGACCGCTATTTCCGCGTGGACGCAGACGTGGAGCGGTTCTTCAACTACTGCGGACTGGACCCCGAGGAGCTGGAGAACCTGGGCATGGAGAACTTCGCAAGGGCTAATTCCGACATCATCTCGCTCAACTTCCGCAGCGCAAGCATGATCAGCTCAGACTGTGAACAGTCTCAGGACAGTAACAGCGACCTTAGGAATGATGACAGTGCCAATGACCGGGTGCCCTACGGCATCTCTGCCATCGAAAGGAATGCTAGGATCATCAAGTGGTTGTATAGCATCAAACAAGCTAGAGAGTCGCAGAAGGTCTCCCACGTGTAAGAGACGCTGCGTGCAGAGGAGGGAAGGGGGGGTTCTCTGTGCATCCGCAGTCGTGAAGGTTGTGAGGTCTCCTTGAAGTGTTGTGAGCTTCTCCACGCTCTTTGTGTTGCTTGTTGTGCAATGTTTTCAAGTTGCATGCCTGTCAACATGGGGACTGACCTAGCTTCCACTCAACCATCTCTGCAGAGCCTGGCTGAACACTCATCTGCCAACCGTTTCGGGCCAGAATCTAATTAGGGCTTTGATCTTAAGCAAAACTGTTTACACACACGGTATACAACTTCAATATTTATGTGGTTCTTGTGTTTTTATATCCCACGCTATTGTGTCTTAATTAAAAAGTTTTATCAACTGGCTTTTAAGTTGAGAGCAGAATCTTTTGAAATAACAAGCCAATTTGCCTATATGTGAGACCAAAATGATTGGGGGGAATATATGGGCTCTGCTACCTAACAACATGTTGATGATGGCACAGAAGGAGGCGGGGTGGGGATTTCTAGGGATGAAAGTGGTGAACTTGCCGTTCATCATTTGCATAACGAAATTCTCTGCCACTTGCTAAAATAATGGTTGGGTCAGCAATGCTATGCTTTTTGTGGGCGTGTACATGTTGGTGTTTTGTGTAATACTGATCCTGAGGAAAGACAATCAGATACAGTGAAAGTGATTCAATCTAGGAGGTTGGGTACTTGGGGGGGTTCTGTTGCTGTTCTGATTTAGATTGATTCAGAAATTTTCTACTAGCAATTTTTGGAAGGGAATGCCCACCTCAAAATTTATACTGAATGTCTCTTTTATTAAAGTTGTTGGGCTGGGTTGTTTGTTTTTTTTTTGGGGGGGGTAGGGTGGTCAAGAATTCCATGTTGATTCTGATCCCCCCTTCCCTTTGTTGTGTTTTATTTGAAAGAGGGGTGTGGGGCTTGTGCAGGTTTGAGCTCTCTGAAGACATAAACACAAATGGAAATACCAGCCATATCAGTGTAGCACCTCCATTGAAAAGTGAATGCCTTTGGTAGCCCAACCCTGAGCAGTGCAATTGTGTTGTCTTGCCTATGTTATTATTCTCTCAGGCTGTGGACCTTTGTTACAGCTCTAGGAAACTGTAGAAACATGACACTATGTAGCTTTTCTACCCATGATCTAGTGCTGCATATCACTCTGTGTGTACCCCCCTCCCCTCATAAACTGTCTTACAGGTGGTTTGTCAGCTGTGCAACAGCTGACACTTGTGACGTTGGTAGCAGAGAGGTTGAACGTGCTGTGGTCTGCTTCATTGCTCCTGTAGTCATGTTCTCAAGTCCTCAGCAGCACTACCTTAGACTTCATCAGCTGATAGGAAACTTTTTATGGTGTAAATGCTGTAAGACTTTGTACATACTTCAGTTGTTATGAAATCTTTAAGAAAAAAAGAAAAGAAAAAAGTTACACTAATAAATAGCTCTGGTGCAGGCACTCATGGTGATGGTTTCTCTTTGTCCTTTCCTTTGCACCCTTCACAAACATGTCACTTCGAACTGTGAGACAGAAGCGGAGCATTGGTCGTTTCAAAGAAACAGAGTAAATTTCATGAACTCATTTTTACCATTGCACAATGATTCTGATTCAGCAGCCTTCTTAATGGTAGCCATAGCGATGTGCTTTTGCTAAAGTGGTTTTATTAAGGATCCTAAAATATGCTGCTTCTTCTTTACTTAGTTCACACTTGGGTTATTTTTATCCTTTCATTAACATCAGGGTTTTCACCTCTTCCTCAAGACTTGTCAACTGTAAATATTTATGAGTTCTTAATAATGGACGGAGCGATAGCACAGCGGTAGGGCGTTTGCCTTGCACGCAGCCAACATGGCTGACCCAAGTTCGAATCCTCCACCCCTCTCGGAGAGCCCGGCAAGCTATCGAGAGTATCTCGCCCATACGGCAGAGCCTGGCAAGCCACCCGTGATGTATTCGATATCACAAACACAGTAACACCAAAATCTCCAATGGAGATGTTACTGGGCCCGCTCAAGCAAATCAATGACCAACGGGAGGGCCTTTACCTTACCTTACCAATAATGGACACATATCTTTGAAATCTGTAGTTCTGTTTCATATTTGTTCAAGCCCCAAACTATTAAGACTGCCTGTGTTCCTGTGTTTCTTCACTCATTCGCTCATTCCTCTTCAATGGGTTATTTGTTGAGTGAGCTCTTTTGCCAGACCTTTCTGTAGATAGATGTTCCAAATCAGTAACTCTGTCCTGCCTGCTTAACCTTCACATTTATTTTAAGCTAATGATCCCACTTGGTAGATGTATCTTATTTATTATCCTAAAGACATGGAATAAGCTACCGAGAGCTACCGAGAGTATCTCACCCGCACGGCAGGGCCTGGCAAGCTCCCCGTGATGTATTCGATATGCCAAACACAGTAACATCAAAGTCTCCAATGGAGACGTTACTGGGCCCGCTCGAGCAAATCGATGATCAACGGGAGGGCCTTTTTTACTTTAAAGACATGGAATAGTCAATGATTATTTATTGAATCAATTCATTTGAAGATGATCATTTCTTCAAAAGTTCCATGTAGCACATAAAGGTAAAAGAAATGATTGTTTTAAAAATGTTAGTTTCAAAATCAGGTAAAGGTAAAGGTAAAGGCCCTCCCGTTGATCGTCGATTTGCTCGAGCGGGCCCAGTAACGTCTCCATTGGAGACTTTGTTGTTACTGTGTCTGGCATATCGAATACTCTCGGTAGCTTGCCGGGCTCAGAAATAACATAATTACCAAGTATTACAGTCCATAAGTATTTTTCTCCAGAAAATAAGATTTGGTGCTTGATTTTTATTGCTGTTATTGTTGTTGTCTGATTAATTTTCACTTTAAATAGGACTCTTATGTCCCAGCAGAAACATTTAGAAATTCAACAGTGATGACACAATGTGTTCAAGATAATACAGTGAAAATGTGTGAGTGTGTGTGTGTGTGTGTGTGTGTAAATATAACATGGTTTCTTCCCCCTTCATTTGGGTAGAAATTTCACCATTTAAAATATTTGTTTGTTACTTAATGTTTGTGTATTACTCTTTCAGGGAGTATAAAATGAAATAGGTGTTATTTTCTAAGGTATCCATTTTTTTGAGGGAGATAATTCTTAAGTTAGAATTATCACTGGCTATGCTGTGTTAGTCATAAATTGCTTGAATTTTCCAACATTTCAAAATCATATTCAATCTGTATTCAATAAACTTGTAAATCATTCCTTGATAATTTAATCTAATATTACATTGCCCATCACATCAGTGAACAAATGTGAAGCTTTGGGTTCATGTGGAAGGTAGGAACACATTATTTCCCTTTTGTTCTCAAAATCATGGTTTCTATTTGAAGAACCACTTCAAATACTTAAAATTAAATCCTATGAGAGAGATTTTCTAATTGTGAAATCCCCTTTGTAAAATTTCCATTCTATTATCACATGGAAGTATCTGTGTGTAATGAGAATGTTGATGTGAATACTAAGTTGTTACAAAATTCAACCTTTTTTCTCACAATGCAGAATGAAGTCCATGTGCACTAGGTAACCCTGGGAACTGATTCTTTCAAAATAACATAATATTTTAAGATTTTCTACCAGATCTACCCCTCTGTAGTTATTTTTTAATTTACCCTCTCTTCTCTTGCCTTCTTTTCCTATCCTTTAACTTTCTAACTGGGAGACTCCCTCCCCTGAGAACCAGTCACCCATCTTGTTTCATGCCAGAGATACCATCATCAACCTTGATCAAGTCACTCATTCCTCTATAATCTTAGCTTAAGTGTTTCTTGTAAAATTATTTCTAATTTCTAAACACACTGTTATGGTTCTCAGACTCTTTTCTTCCCTATGACCACTCAGCCTAGGCTTCTATGCTCCAACCAGATGGAATTTTCCACTGGGAACTTTTATACTCCTTCATTAGTAATCTTTTGCTGCAGAACGTATTTCCCCTAAAGCCTAGCAACTGAAAATGTTACGGATTTAGTACTTCAGTTTCAGTGAATCAGAAATCCTAGAGTGGCTAGGCAGAAAGTTCTGATTCAAGATGTTTCATTAATCTACAGACAAGAGGTCAGCTGGTATAAATCAACTGAAGATTTGACTGAGAGAATTAAGATGGTTCACCTGTGTTGGTGTCAGTCCTTTTTATCGGTATCTGGGTTTTACCAGAGAGAGAGCAAAAAGAAAATCACATGCCCTTTATGATCCAGCATCTTAAGTCACACATTTCTGCCAGTCAGTTAGACACATGTTACTAAATACAGACAGCCCTACTCATGGGTGGAGGATGAGGGGTAAGTGAGTCTTAATTTAAAGGAGGAATATCAAAGAATTAATAGACTTGCTTTAAAATCACCACTATTGGGCCAGAATGATAGTTTAGCAGATAAGGAGTTGTTCTTGCACATGGCCCACCTAGATTTGATCCCTGGCACCCCATATGGTCCCTCAAGTCCACCAGGAATGATCCAGGAGTCCTGAGCACTGCTGGGTATGAACCAACCCTCAAACAAAAAATAAAGCACTATTATTGAGGTTCAGTAACTCATTTTATAAGGTCCTAATACCTTCCTTTCCTTCCTTAACCTCAGGATTTTCCATAGCTGTTAATTGGCAAGGGGTTTTTGTTTGTTTGTTTCTGTTTTGTCTTTTCCCATTGGTTGCTAATATTTGTCATGTCCCTACACCCAGTCTTCCCTTGCCTGGTTTGTGCCTCTATAAATACTTAAATGAAATACCTTCCTCAAGACATCTTATTTTCTGCCACAAAAAGCCAATCCTAATAACTTCACAAATTCTGGTAATTATGTCAAGTGAGCTCCAAAGCTAGGCAGAACAAAGCCCATCAGTCAGCCCAGAGTATATCTTAGGTGCCTAAGAAATGCAGACTATGTTCTCTAGCCTATCATGTTTAAGTTCTATGGTAGTCAGGCTGTAATTATCACAATGAATTCGTGGAGGTAGATACTATTTCATTTTAGAGTTGAATAACCTCAGTTTCGTGGCAGTTACCTCTTTAACCAAGTATCTAAGCAGAAGTAAGTGGAGAAAAGGATTTGAACTCAGCTCTGTATTTCCAGTTTTTCTACCCTACAGTCCCCACAAGACATAGAAAGGCAGCTTTTTTCTAGAAAAATGAAAGTGACTTTAACATCATTTGATTCATATTTTCGGAGAGCCCGGCAAGCTACCGAGAGTATTCGATATGCCAGACACAGTAACAACAAAGTCTCCAATGGAGACGTTACTGGGCCCGCTCGAGCAAATCGACGATCAACGGGAGGGCCTTTACCTTTTACCTTTTCTGTTGCCTCAGTATAGAATTTCAGAAATTTCACTCTTACCTAAATAGTAACCAATAAAACTTAGAAAAGGACTTCAGCTGTCCCATTATGAGTAACACAGCCCACTGAGTTCAAAGAGACAAAGCTGTTAGAATTACATTTTTCAGTTTTGAACGTGTTGTTTTCAAACCACATCCTGCGTCTTTGGCTCAAGGATTTTTAGAAGGCTAAATGGTAAAGAAAAAATCACAATTTAACAATCAGGAAACAGCTTTATAATTTGATGAAATCAGCAATATTCTATTCTCTCATCCTTGAGGAATTATATGGTATGTTCTGATGAGGAGATGCATTGAAAAGGGAACCAAAAAAAACTTGAGGAAATTAATCAATTTCTTATCTCATTGAGAACAGACGATGAATCTTTCCGCTATTTTGAAAATGTCAAGTTGCCATCTTCCCTGAGCCCCATTATGTGACTGAGTTGTTTTAGCTCCCACAGTACCTTCCAAGAGCTGTATCGTGGCACACCAAAGACTAGCCTGCTGCTCAAGCTGCCTTCATGGAGCATTTCTCCGAGTATTTGGCTCACTTCCCCTTTGGGGGGAAGAAACTCAGTAGAAGGAAAAGCAAGGGAAATTCAGCAATCTTTTGGTATTCCATCCTCCAATACATCTTCCTGAAGTTTGCCTCCATTCTTTCATATGTAAAATGGGAGGGAAACTCTCTGATAAATGTGTCTCTTGACTCCAGTCTCTTATCTGAGCCCTCTTTGGAGGAACATTAGGATAAACAGCAAGGACATGAGAATTCAAGGACAAGATTGGATTCATCCTGACAAACAGGGACAGCGGGATGGAGGCCAGGTATCTTGCTGACTGTATTTTATGCACCCAAGAAAGTGTCGGACGCGGCAGGAATAAGCTGTAAAGTTTAGGGGCCAAAGAGAGAGTGTGTATATATGTGTCAAGGGCCTTGCCTTGCATACAAATGAGCCAGGTTTGATATCCAGCACTGCATATGGTCCCCTGAGCACCACCACGGGACAGAGCACATCCATGAGCACAGCCTGAGGAGTAAGCCCTGCACACCCTGGATGTGACTCAGACATACACAAAATGAAATTTATTAAAAATTCTCTGAATGGAAGGAATCT